TGCCACCACGCCTGGCTAACATCTACTTTTAGATTCACGAATTCCACCTGTTTCTTGGGGTTATTTTCCTCGATTTTTTATTTGAAGACTTAATTGATGTTCAGATTATTTTGAAGTTTCTGGTAAAAATCGTTTCCCTCTTTGACTGCATCCTACAGTCTTTGGCACGTGGGCCTTCTGTTCCCAGCAGACGGTTATTTTTACCTTATTCCTCCTCCTCTGCTGTTCATTTTTGTGTTTGAGACAGGGTCTTGCTGTGTAGACCAGGCTGGCCTCAAACTTGCTGTGATCCTCCTGCCTTAACCTGGGCTCACAGCCTGGTTTACTGTTTTACAGCAACACACAGCTTAATGTGTCTTAATGAAGGAGCTGGGTCCGGCAAACAGCCCGATTCCCACCAATGGCTTTTCTTTTCTTTTCTTTTCTTTCTTTCTTTCTTTCTTTCTTTCTTTCTTTCTTTCTTTCTTTCTTTCTTTCTTTCTTTCTTTCTTTCTTTTTCTTTTTTGGTCTTTTTGAGACAGGGTCTCCCTGTAGCCCCAGCTGACCTGGAATTCACTATGTAGACCAGGCTGGCCTTGAACTCACAGAGATCTGCCTGCCTCTGCCCCCAGGTGCTGGGATTAAAGACATGTGCCACCACGCCCCACTTTTCTTTCTTTGGTGGTGCTGCTGGGGATGGAACCCAGGGCCTCATTCATGCGAGGCAGGTGTTCTACCAGCAAATTCCATAAATCTCTATTTATTTATATTTATTTATTTATTTTTATTTTATGTGTATGAGTGTTATACCTGCATGTATGTAAGCGTACCTGTGTCGTGCAGTATCCTCAGAATACAGAAAAGGGCATTGGATCCCTGGAACTGAATTTTCTAATTGTTAACCGCCATGTGGGTGTTGGGAATTGAACTTGGGTCTTCTGCAAGAACAGGCAGTGCTCTTAACTGCTGAGCCATCTCTCCAGCCCCACAACTATTTTTAAAAATTATTTATTTATTTATTTATTTATTTATTGGTCCTTTTATTTATTGAGACAGCATCTCCCTATAGACCCAGCTGGCCTGGAACTCACTATGTAGACCAAGCTGGCCTTGAACTCTGCTTGCCTCTGTCTCCTGAGTGTTGGGATTAAAACAGGGGCTTCCTGTAGCACTTGCTGGCCTGTAAGTCACTATGTAGACCAGACTGGCCTCAATCTCACAGAGATCCACCTTGCCTCTGCCTCCCAATTTTCACTTTTTTAATGACTAAGAGGCAGAATACCTTTTCTTCTTTTGTGTTTCTTATTTGTCAGGTACATCTTATCTTCAGGGAAGGATTTGTACAATTTCTTGTATATTTTATGTTCAGTTGTCCCATGAGTTGTGAGCATTTGCAGAAGATAGAGTAAGGTTGGACTTTGTAAATTTATTTTTTTACAGCCTTTCATTTATCTTTTCTTTCTAAAATCTTTTTGAATTCAAAAATTTTTTAAAAATATTTTTTTTTTATTTTATGTGTATGCATGTATTGCCTGGATGTGGGTAAGTACACCCATGTCATGCAATGCCTGTGGAGATCAGAAGAGGCTGTTGGGTCCCCTGGAACTGGAGTTGTGGACAGTTGTTAGCTGCCATGTGGGTGCTGGGATTTGAACCTGTTCTTCTGCAAGAACAGCCAGTATTCTTAACTGCTGAGCCATCTCTCCAGGCCTTATTATTTTTATTTTATGCATATGAGTATATTGCCCGCATGTAGGTAGGTGCACCGTGTCATGTAATGCCCTTGGAGGACAGAAGAGGGCATCAAATCCCCTGGAATTGGAGTTACGGATGGTTGTTAGCCAGCATGTAAGTTCTGGGAATTGAACCCCGGCCCTCTGCAAGACCAACCAGTGCTTTTAACCACTGAGCCATTTCTCCAACCTCACAACTGTTTTTTATATGCCCTTATCATGTACTCAAAAATTCTCTCTTCAAGTTGGGCATAGTGGCATGTGCCTGTAGTCCCTGCTACTTGAGAGGCTGAAACAGGAAGGTCTCTGGAAGCCAGGAGTTCAAGGCCAGCCTGTGCAGCATTCCTCAGCGAGATAAAGAGACTGGCCTGTCACACAGAACATGAACTGTGAAAATAGAATTTTGGCTTCCTAGTATCTATCACACTGTCTTGTCCTCATCACCATGTTAAGATGGCCTTACAGCCCTCCAAGTTCCTCAAGTTAAAAGAAGGAGTGAAGCTGGACAACGTGGTGGTGCACACCTTTAGTCCCAGCACCAAGGAGGCAGAGGCAGGTGGATCTTTGTGAGTTCGAGGCCAGCCTGATCTATATAGCGAGTTCCAGGACAGCTGGGGCTACAGGGAGACCCTGTCTCAAAATGACCGAAACAAATAAAAGGAGCGAATGGATATTGATGACACTATCCCTACCTCACCCAGCATCTCCACAGGACAGCAAAATTGTTTAAAAATTAAAAATACCAGTTATGGTGGCATACACATTTAATCCTAACAGTCAGGTGGCAAAGGCAGTCAGATCTTTGGGCGTTCAAGGTCAGTCTGGTCCAGGCCAGCTTGGGCTACTGAGAGACCCTGTCTCAAAAAACAAAACATAGGGGTCTGTAGAGATGGCTTAGTGGTTAAGAGCACTGGCTGCTCTTGTAGAGGACCCAGGTTTGGCTCCCAGCACCTACATGGCAACTAACGGCCATCCTTAACTCTAGTTCCAGGGGATCAGATGTTGGGGAACCCTGCTGTTAGGGTTGTAGTCCTCCATGTCTGGATAGCTCTAAGGGGCTCGGTGCCATATGGAAGGACTCCCCTTGTCAGCAGGGGGCCTCCTGCTCTCTTCCTGACTTACCTGGAAAGTGCCACCAAGCACGGATGTCTGACCTTATCTGGAACATGACCTTTGGCATAGTTACCTGGAGTAAAAACTACCCCCAGGTTTTTTCTATGTGATAATTAGGCATTGCCCGGTAGTTGGACATTAGGAGCCCACCGCCACATGTAAATAAAGCATACTATGAGCACCTATCAGCTGAGGCTTTGGCTACTGCCTCCACACTATATTTTCCCCAGTCCTCCCACTGAATAAATGGAGCTGTCTCACTGAGTCTGGAGCTGTTTGTATCACTGAACCGGCCTCCCCGGAAGGGCTTTCTTCCGTCAGTGCTCACTGGCCGTCCTGACCCCGCTCGTCGCTTCTGCTCCCTTTGTCCTCGTGGACTGGTGGCCAATGACCCACGAGGAGAGGGAGTGACCCCACAATCTGACACCCTCTTCTAACCTCCACAGGCATTGCATGACATGGGTGCACTTACACAAATGCAGGTAAAACACTCATACACAAAAAATAATATTTTTTTAAAAACCTAAGATAATAAATAAATAAATAAACAAATAAATAAATAAAATAGATCACAGATCACCTTACTCCCAGCACAGGCCATTAAAGGCTTGTGTTCCCTGAGAAAGAAATTCCTCCCTGTCCTGGTGACCTGGAGAGCCCATGTGATCTGGCCCTTGCAGGCCTCTCCGGCTTCAGATCTCTTGTTACTCACCCAAGGTTCCCTTGCCGTTTAGCTCAGAGCTCAAAGACCTTGTGCTCTCCAACCACATCAGCTCTGCCCCTTACTGTGTGACCTTGAGAAAGTTAACTTCTTTGTACCTTGGAGCAGGATGCTGGTGATGGTGCAGGGCTGCTGTGAGATCATTGAGAAAAGGTGAACACAGGTCCTATACCAGCCTGGCCCTTATCGAGTGGCACATGGCCCAGCTGCTCCTCCTCACAGCTGCTCTGGCATACCCAAATCTGTTCTGACTCAGGACTCTGGGCTTGGGCTTCCCTCTGTCTGGTCTGTCCTGCCTGACTTCCCTGGCTTCACCCTCATTGCATTCATGGTTCTTCTCCAATGTCCACCCTTAGCTGACTCCTCTGTTTAAGGCAGTGCTCCACATTACTCCTCAGTGCTCCTCATTAACCCCTAGTGCTCCTCACTAACCCCCAGTACTTCTCAGTGCCCTTCAGTGCTCCTCAGTGACCCCCAGTGCTCCTCATGCTCCAAATCCACTTACCGTGCACCATCGTCAGGAAATCTATCACTGCCTGAAATTATGTTATGGACTTTTTAATCTGCCTGTCCTACCGAGCATCAGGTCCTTGAAGATACCACTATGATGCTAGCCTCAGGATCTCAGCCAGTGTGTGGCAGAATCAAATAAACACATTTGGATGGGTGGGTGTGAGTGAGTGTGGATGGAATATATAGGTGGGTTGAAAAAATGGAAGGGAAGGATGGATGGATCAGTAAATCAATGGATGGGAGCTGGAGAGATGACTCAGTGGTTAAGAACACTGGCTGTTCTTGCAGAAGACCCAGGTTTGAATCCCAGAACCCACATGGTAGCTAACAACTGTCTGTAACTCCAGTTCCAGGGGATCTGGCAGCCTCATCTGTCCTCCTTGGGCATTGCACGACACGGGTGCACTTACATACATGCAGGCAATACATGCATACATGTAAAACTTTAAAAAATGCATAAAAAATAAATCAATGGATGGTTGGGCACATTAAGGGGTCAATGACAGATAAATATGGGGATAAATAGATGGGTTGATAGGTGGATGGAAGGCAGGCAGGCTAGAGATATGGCTGGATGGATAAGATGGATGGATTTTTAGGGTAGAGGGAAGGGAGTGAGGGAGGGAAGGAAAGAGATGGATGCTTGGAAGGAAGGAAAGATGGATGTGGGTAGATGGAAGAAAGGGAACAGGGAAGGAGGGAGAAAAGCAGCTGAGTGCATAGATGATTGGCTGGTCAAATGGATGAATAGAAAGAGGTGGAAGGAAGAAGGAGGGAAGGAGTGAAGAAAGGAGGAAGGGAGGAAATAAAGGAGGAAGGAAGGGCGGATGGTTGAACAGTAGACAGCTGGGTAGATGGATAATTGACAGATAGGAAGATGGATGCATAGACCCTCTGGTGGGAGCCATTCTGAGCCCTGCCCTATCACTTCTATTTTCCAGGTCATCACCCACCTGTCCTGCCCCTGTGTGCCTCAGTGTCTCTGCTAGGTGGCCTGACCTTTGGCTATGAGCTAGTCGTCATATCCGGTGCCCTGCTGCCACTGCAGCTGGCCTTTGGACTGAGCTGCTTGGAGCAGGAGCTCCTGGTGGGCATTCTGCTCCTGGGGGCTTTCCTTGCATCCCTGTTCGGGGGCTTCCTCATTGACCGCTATGGCAGGAGACAAGCCATCCTGGGGAGCAATGTGGTGCTGCTTGCTGGCAGCCTGAGCCTGGGCCTGGCTGACTCCCTGCCCTGGCTGCTCCTGGGCCGTTCAGTGGTTGGCTTTGCCATCTCACTCTCATCCATGGCTTGCTGTATCTATGTGTCAGAGCTGGTGGGGCCGAAGCAGAGAGGCGTGCTCGTGTCCCTCTATGAGGCAGGCATCACTGTGGGCATCTTGCTCTCTTATACCCTCAACTATGTCCTGGCTGGCACTGCCTGGGGCTGGAGGCACATGTTTGGCTGGGCAGCTGCACCCGCTCTCCTGCAGTCCCTTAGTCTCCTCTTCCTCCCTGCCAGTGCAGAGAGGACGGCAGCCCACCAGGATCTCATCCCGCTCCAGGGAGGGGAGGCCAGCAAGCTGGGGTGGCCTCGGTACACCTTTCTGGACCTGTTCAGGGCCCGGGATAGCATGCGAGGCCGGACTGCAGTGGGGCTGGGGCTGGTGCTGTTTCAGCAGTTTACAGGGCAGCCCAATGTGCTGTGCTACGCCTCTACCATCTTCCATTCTGTTGGCTTCCGTGGGGGCTCCTCAGCCGTGCTGGCTTCTGTGGGGCTCGGTACTGTGAAGGTGGCAGCCACCCTGACTGCCATGGGGCTGGTGGACCGTGTGGGCCGGCGGGTCCTATTACTGTCTGGCTGTGCCCTCATGGCCTTGTCTGTCAGTGGCATAGGCTTGGTCAGCTTTGCCGTGTCCCTGGACTCAGGCCCCAGCTGCCTGACCCCTTCCAATGCCACCCAGCAGACAGACCTGCCTGGAAGCTCAAGCCTGCTCAAGGGTTCATCTCCACCACCATTGCCAAGAATCAGCAGGGAACAAGGGCAGCCAGTCTTCTCAGTTACTGAAAGATCCAAGGCCCATCCAGGAGCCCGAGAAACCTCAGCATCTTTGGAGCCAGCCCTGAATGCCGTCACCCCAGAGTCCCCCAGTCCTCAGGAGCACACCCTGCTGTGCTGGGCTGCCCTGATCTGCATGATGGTTTATGTGAGCGCCTTCTCCTTTGGATTTGGACCAGGTAGGAGGGCTCCCCGCTTGGTGGTCAGCCCAGGGACAACGTAGGTGGTGCCCTGGAGCTTTTGTGGTGGGTGATTGAGGCTTCAAGGCTCTTTGCTTATGTCTGGGTGCTCCTAGGGCTGAGGCCTAGCCACATTTGCAGTTTCTTATGGTGCCCCAGATTTTAAACTTCAAGTTCTCGGGCTCCTGGATGGGCCTTGGTTCTTTCAGGTTCTGACCCTGGATTGTTCCATCAACAGGTCTGGCTTGAAAGGAGTTTAATGAGGCAGATAAGAAAAACCCAGCCGTCTCAGTCTGCCTAGGACTGTTCTGGTCTTGAGTCCCAGGAAGTGGAGACAATGGTCATTTACAGCGATTCTTGTAGGAACATGTCGGGGTGGCGCACAGCTGGGAGAATCTACGGTCGGGAGTCTGACAGTGGGCTTAACTTATGTGAGTGGGAGGTGGCCTGCCTGGTTCATGGTGCCCAGGAGCCCTGTTGCTTTCACCCCAGTGACCTGGCTGGTCCTCAGTGAGATCTACCCGACGGAGATCCGAGGGAGAGCCTTTGCCTTCTGCAGCAGCTTCAACTGGGCAGCCAATCTCTTCATCAGCCTGTCCTTCCTCGATGTCATGGGTGAGTGCTCTGGCCTCACCCCAGGCCACTTCCTGTGGAACCCAGGAACAGTTTCCTCCAGAGGCAAATCTTCCGTTTGCCGGGTCACAGTGGCATAAAACCCAACACAGCCTAGCTTGTGAGCCAAAGGGGGAATTTCATCTCAAATCACCAGAAAGAGGGCGGTGGCTGGCTCCAGGCAGAGCTGATTCTGATGTTCTACCACAGCAGCTGCCCTTCGTTCTCAGCCCTGCTTGCCCCCCAGGGACTTCATTCCCAGTCAGACCTGCGTCATGTGCAAAGGTGGCTGCCTGCACATCTCTAGAGTGTCTTTCTCACTGGAGGCAGCCCTCATTGGCTCAGCAAGATCACTTGCCCCTCCTGGAGCCAGTGGCTACAGCAATTCTGAGGTCCAGAGCTTTTTCGGACAGTTCTTAGGGCTCAGCTACTTTCCTACTCCCTGTGACCAAGTGTTTCTGTGTCCAGCTTGTGGGGCTATGGAAACACTTGGGGGAGAAGACCACCAACGATGGTCTCCCAGCCTGGTCTTAGGGAGCCCAGGCATCTTTCTCCCTGCAGCCCCTGTCTTCACACATTTCTGTGTGGGATGGATGAGCAAGACAAGAGAGAGGGGAAGGGGTGAGGAAGGGCTCTTAGAACTGTGCCCTATCATCACCCCATCTCACAGATGGGAAAATGGGTAATAAAGACCAGACAGGTGTCAGAAGACAAGCCTGGTCCTGCCAACCTAGCCCAGGGCAAGTCCCACAGCCAGAGAGGATGCTGGAGGAGCAGCCGTGGCTGCCAGAGAGAAAGGCATCCACACAGAACCCGGCATCCCACTTTGCAGAGTCCTTCCTTCAAGCCTCCTTTCCCTGTCTTGGACCACTGAGTTCAGAGGACTTGGTGTCTTCTCCATCCTGGTCCCTGGTTCAGAGACCCCAACCCCTGCAGAGCCCTCCTTTCTGGGCTGGAACAGTGGTCCCTGTCTTCCTGCCCTCTGGGCTCAGACCCAGGATAGACTGACTGAAGCTCAGTTTCCTGGTTGCTCAGTTTGCAGAGGAAGCCTTCCGGAACAGGACCTCTAGGGCAGGTTTGTCGTGGCTGGGTCCCTGCAGCTGTTCCTTGGCTCAGGTGTTCTAACTCAGGGACTTTTTCCTAAATGCAAGTTGCTCTTGTTTTGGTTCCTGTCTCAGGGATGGCCAGTCATGTTCCTGTTTTCAGGTCCTCATCTGACAGTTGTCGGCCATTCTGCAAACCAGCTATCCACAGCCCTTGCATGGGAGAGCTCTCAGTGTTGACCTAGGACCCGCCAGATGGCCTGGGCTGCAGGACCAGAATGCTTGGACCCTGGCCCACCCACATTCCTATCTTTCTGTCCTCCCAAGGTGCCATTGGCTTGTCTTGGACCTTCCTGCTGTATGGGCTGACTGCTGTCCTCGGCCTGGCCTTCATCTACCTATTTGTTCCTGAAACAAAAGGCCAGTCATTGACTGAGATAGAACAGCTGTTCCAGAGGAGTGGGTACGTGGTAGATGGTGGGTGTGGGGCACAGAGCCTCAGACAAGGGCCCCCCAGACCTTCAGGCTGTCCTGCCCTTTGCCAGATGCCAGATGCCGGCCTCTTCTCCTCCCATCTTACTTCCTGATGCCTGGAGTTCTCACCCCTGTGGATGCGTGAAGTGCTCAAGGGTAGTGGAGCAACTAAGTTGACACCTGAATGAACAGAAAGGGCCAACAGCCTTAGAGATGGGAGAGAATGTTCTGGGCAGCGGGAAGCTCGAGAGCAAAGGCCCTGGGGTAGAGACCACTTGGGTGATTTAAGAGAGCAACACCAGGCCAGTGTGGCTGGGGTGTGATGGGCAGATGGGGGAAGATGGTGGGGACACGGCCCTGGGTATTAGGCTGAGCAACATGCTGGTTCCCACAGGGCTGTGACAGGGTCTGGCTTTGGTGTTTAGAAAGGTCACTGTGGCTGGGATGGGGACGCTGTGGGTAATAAGGCAAGAGAACCAAGGAATGAATGTTGGGAAGGAAGCAGGAAGGGATGGCAGGAAAGTGTGGGGCGAGAGGGAGGGAGAGAGGGTGTGCAGAAAAGGGGAACCCTCAGTCACTGCTGATGAGATTGCACACTGGTGCAACCACTATGGAAATCAGTGTGGAGAGCTCTTAATAGAACTACCATATTTAAAATAGGCCTATCATATTTAAAATGTTCATGCCAGGCAAGGTGGCACATGTCTTTAATCCCAGTACTCAGGAGGCAGAGGCAGGTAGATCTCTGTGAGATTGAGGCCAGCCTGGTCTACGTAGGGAGTTCCAGGTCACAGGCAAGCTGGGGCTACAGGAAGACCTGGTCTCAAGAAAAAAAAAAAAAAAAAGGGGGCGGGGCAGGAGAGGTACAGGCAGGGACACATTCCTGTATACTCATTGCCACCTGTGCAGGGAAGGCCCCAGGCCTGCTGCCCTCTGATGCTCTCATGATCTCTCTCCTTCACAGGTTCCAGAGGAGCGCTGGCCATAGGCAGAACTCCGATGGCTTCCAGTACCACCGCCTGGGGGTCTCTGAGGCTTCCTAAGGAGTCTGTCTGCCTGGAAGATGCTGGAACATTGGTTTCAACAATCCATCTCCAGCTCCCTGTCTGCTGGGCCCAGAGCCCATGATCCAGATTTCCTTCTGGAATCAACCCAGCCCCAGATGAGGCCTCTTGTTGGGGCGAGATGAACCCCAAATTCCGCATTTTGAGGCTCTAGCTTCATGCCTCAGTTTCCCCATGGACTTGGTGTATGTCTGCAGTGTTTATAGTGAGAGCATTCTCTGAGCTCTGTCTTTGTCACACCTCTCATTCCCTCACCCAGTTATTTATGAGGCACTAGGATCTGAGGCAAACAGAGGAAAGCCAGAACAAAATGCTCAGCAAGGTGCCATCAGTTGGCTCTGGGGACAGCTGGTACCTTGATTCCAGAGTCAGCACCCTGGAATGCAAGGGCCAGCTCCAGCACATGACAAGTGCTGGGAGCCGAGCCGTTTCCAAGGTGGGGCAGGGAGCTCTGCAGGAAGGAAGGGATTTGGAGGGACACACTGGATGCTAGTTAGTGTGGCATCTACTTTGTGTGCTATTGATCTTGGGAAATGACTCCCTCAAGCTTCAATTTTCTTATCTGCAGAATGGGGACAGTGGGGTCCCTTGGGGTATATTGATTGATTCCCTCTCAGGAGGGTTTTCAGGAGGCCTCAGGGAATTTCTGCTCACTGAGGACCCCTCCTTTGTGGCACCGTAAAGAGTCAGTCAGATGGAGCCCAGGAAGTGGCTGAGGTTGGAGGTCATGTAAGGAAGACACCAACAAGACGGGGTTAGTTCCTGGACACTGGGGAGCTGCCCCAACCTGCCTTATCAGCCATGCCTTCCCACCCCGACCAGCGCAGCCCCTGAAGCCAGCCTTGGGATTTCCTTGCTCTTTATTTCTAGAGATTTCCCTCATAGCCAATGGCATGCTGGAGCTGGCTTGTACTGGCTTCCTGGAGCTGGCTGGCATGCTTTCAGATCTGAAAACTGGTTGTTAAACACTGCCATTATTTTAAAAATGAGTTATTTTAATTTATAATTACATTATATTAAAAAGCAAAGACAATACTCAAATCATTGCTGCCTAGCCAGGTGTGGTGGCATGTGTCTGTGACCCCAATACTCAAGAAGATCAAGGTTCTAGTCTAGTCTGGCTACATAGTGAAGCCCTGTCTAAATAAATAAATTAAACTAAACAAACCAAAATAAATAGGTAAATTAAGAAAATACCAACACCTGTTGCCACCTCCTGGTTTCACCACTGTTTCACCTTTCTGTTGCTGGGCTGTGCTCATGCTGCGTGTCTGATGGACGTGGAGGGAGACGTGAGCATTTTTCTGGCACTCAGTGTCTTTGCCTTCTCTGCTTAAACTGATCCTGGGAGTATTTTGCATCCCAGAGGTTAGGGAAGACTACAGACCAGGGCTTGACTTACTGTTTGGTTGATTTTCAAGAGTTGAGAACTGGGACTGGAGAGATGGCTCAGTGGTTAAGAGCATTGACTGCCCTCGCAGAGGAACTGGGTTCAGTTCCCAGCACCCACGTAGTGGCTAACAACCATTCATAACTCCAGTTCCAGAGGATCTGACACCCTCATATGACCTCCTTGGCATTGCGTGACACAAGTACACTCACATACATGCAGGCAATACACATACACATAAAATTAAAAAAATATTCTTAAAAAGTAGAGAACCAGGGGCTGGAGAGATTGCTCAATGGTTAAGAAAACTGGCTGTTCTTGCAAAAGACCTTGGTTTGAATCCCAGCACCCACATGGCAGCTAACAACTGTCCATAACTCTAGTTCCAGGGGATTCGACAGCCTCTTCTGTCTTCCATGGGCATTGCACAACATGGGTGCACTTACGTACATGCAGGCAATACCTGCATACACATAAAATATTTTAAAAAAAGATGTAAGAGGAAATATTTTTTTTAAAAAAGTAGAGAACCACTGGTTCAACTGTTAGTATGCAAATTAAGCTCAAAAGTGCCTTCTGCATGTAGCTGATATACTGTGAACAGTACAGAAACTGAAGGAATATCCCACATGCTGATCAACTCAACAGATACCTGCTCCTGTCCTTGATGGAGGAGTTCTGACATAAATCTTAACTGTTCACGTTTGTCTTGACCGGCCCTTCTGGGATGTATGCCCATCTCTTAGCACCAAACTGCACACTGACTGCTTACAGATTGCTTTTTCTTTGGATGAATTTGCCTTTCCACACAAATAAGTGTTTTAAAATTATATTTTGAAATAAATTATTTTGAACATAAATGTATATAGTAACATATTTTCCTTCAAATGCATATTTATTGTCTATTAAGTGTCAGGCATTGATCTAGACCCTGGGGATCAAATGGTGAACTAGACGAGGTCCCTGTCTGCCTTCTGACATTTTGGTGGGGTGATAGATTAGAAATAAGAAGAGAGGGCTGGGTTTGTGGTGGCGTACACCTTTGGTCCCAGCATTTGGGAGGCAGAAGCAGGCAGATCTCTGTGAGTTTGAAGCCAGCCTGGTCTACATGGCAAGTTCCAGGCCAGCTGGGGCTACATAGTGAGTCCTTGCCAAATAAATAAATAAATAAATAAATAAATAAATAAATAAATAAATAATGAGGAAGAGGGAGCAAAAAGGAAAGTAGGGACAGATGGAAGAAGGGAGGGAAAAAGAATGGAGGGAGGAAAAATCAGTCCATTGGTAGATCTTGAAAAGATAAGTAGATAGATGGTAGACTGAGAGATGCTAGATGATAGATAATAGACAAGTAATAGATTATAGATGACAGTTATTGATAGATGACAGATGATAGATAGAAGATTGTTGGGAGCCAAAAGGCCAGAAGAAAAATATCTTTATGGCAGCTTTAAGGTTTCCTGCACATCTTTATGGCCTTGAGAAAAAAGAGCTTTAAGGTTTCCTGCTCTTTATGGCCTTGAGAAAAAAACAGCCTTATGGTTTTCTGTAAGTTTCTATAAGTTAGCACTTAGTTAAAGAATGTAGAAAAACAACTTGTGACCCAGGTCAAGTCAGCCTTGAGAAATGTCTACTACAGATGTTAGTCCTGAGAAATGTTCACCATAGCCGTTAGCAGATGTTCCTTTAGGATAAGAAATAAACCTCCCTAGCTATAGCATCCAATTAGCGTCTGCCCAGCACTTTCCTTCTCCTCACCTTCCCCCTCCCAACTACCAGTATATATGCCTGCTGCTTTCAATAAAATTTTGAGGCTTGATCAGAACCTTGTCTTGCCTCCATTTCCTCGCGTTCCTTGTTTGTTTCATTCCTTCAGGTTATTCTCCCGACCCCTGAACGTTGAAGGCCCATGGGCCGGGGCAAAGCATTTCATTACAGCTGTAACATACTGAAGATAGATGATAGAAGATAGATAGAGGATAGATAGATAGATGATAGATAGATGATAGATGACAGATAGATGATAGATAGATGGTAGATGACAGTTATTGATAGATGACAGATGATAGATAGATGATAGATAGATAGATAGATAGATGATAGATGACAGATGATAGAGATAGATGGATAGATGATAGATAAATAGATGATAGATGATAGAGATAGATAGATGATAGATGATAGATGGATAGATAGATGATAGATGGATAGATAGATGATAGATGATAGATGGATGGATAGATAGATGATAGAGAGGATAGATAGAGGATAGATAGATAGATAGATAGATGATAGATAGCTAGTTATAGATAGATGATAGATGACAGTTGTTGATAGATGACAGATAGATAGATGATAGATAGATAGATGATAGAATGATGGATGATGGATAGATAGATGATAGATAGATAGATAGAGGATAGATGATAGATGGATGATAGATAGATGATAGATGGATGACAGATAGATGAGGGAGATCCTTGATGAGGAATAAGAGAGACAGGGGCAGAGGAGACGGCATGGGTCAGCTGCAGGTGCAGCTGGAGTGGTGAGGGTGGTCATGGGAGCCTGTTTGAGCTGGTGGCATCTGAACAGGGGCTTGTGTGAAGAGCTGCAGCAAGCCATGCAGAGATCTGAGAAGAGCATCCAGGCAGCTGGCCCAGCTTGTGCAAAGGCCCTGAGGTAAGACTGAGCTTGGCAGGTGGGAGGACCAGCAAGGAGGCAGGAGTGAAGAAGAACAGAATGAAGAAGAGGAGGGAGAGGTTGGTAGGGTCTGATTCATCATTAGACCAGGCCACAGAAAGCATTCAGCTGGAGGACAGGGAGTCAGGGATGGACATGATGTGATCTGACTTAATTCGTGAGCTCCTCACTGGATGCTGATGAACACAGAAGGTGAATGCCCACTCAAGACCATGGAAGAGACCATTAGACATGGCAGGAGCACCTCAGATTCGTGGACTTCTGGAGCGTTCTGGGCCTGCAGTCTGTGCAGTGTTAGAGGAACAGGTGTGTCGAGGAAGAACAGCGATGGGATTCCACATATTTATACGGCTTGTGACCCCTGAAAACCACTTCCCACAGTCCTATAAGGTGCCATCCGCTCCATGCCAAATATGGCTCCAAGGGCACACACAGGGGCACCACAGCAGCATGAGAGACAGAGGTGGCTGCTGTCACCATGCCGTGTCAGGTGCTGACAGCGTCCAAGTGGAACCAATGTAGGGTAGGCCAGGTCCCTGAAGCCACTATTCTGGGCAAGGAGTGAAGGCCCAGGAGGGGACAATGGCTGTGCAGAGCAGCTCCACCTCTCTGCCCTTCTGAGGGGACAGGTGTAGAGTGACTCTTCCTTGTACTAGTCCAGCAAGACTGGGACCACTGGAGGGGTCCCTTCCTGTGCCACACACAAGGCTGACAATGACCCTCAGTTCTGCCTCTCCAGCCTCCTGGGGACCTACGGCCTCCTGGGGACCTGATGTCCTCATGGGTGACCCACATATAGACTCAGTTTCCATATTTGCTAGTTTTCTTTCCAGATCAAATAGGAGATGGGATTTTGACATGAGAGCAGACAGTTCTTAGAGTCATTTCTAACACAAAGTCTCCCAGAGCCACCTCTGAGACACAAACCACCCTCTGAAAGGCTTCTGGACCCTTACTGTGTTGGGTCCCAGCAGGACAGAATATAAATTTCTAAGGAGGGTTTGGCACATGCTTTTAGAGTTTTTCCTCCCTGTGAAATTTTGAAATGGAAAAGCTGACGTTCTTTTTTGAGACAGGTTCTCTTTGTAGCCCCAGCTGCTGGAACTTGCTATGTAGACCAGGCTGGCCTCGATCTCACAGAGATGCCTCACAGAGTGCTGGGATTAGAGACATGTGCTCCCACACCCAGTTGGCATTCTGTTCTTAATTGATTCTCAGAAGATGAGCAGAACCTGAAGTGGGTTGTTATGTTGAACATCTAATCTCAAAAGTTTAACATTATGAATTGGTACATAACAAAATTTTGAAATGGCAGCCAACTCCTAGGTGGCTGCGCGTTAAGTCAAAACGTTTGTTGACAAGTTTAGATCTTCTGAAATTATCTGACATAATCTCTCATCTGAACTCTTTTCAGTAGTGGGACTGAACCCAGGGCTTCACCTATGCTGGGTGCTCACTCTGTCACCGAGCCATATCCCAGTCCCTTTTACTTTACTTTGAGACAAAGTCTCATTAATTTGCTCATGCTGGCTTTGAACTTGGGCTCTTCCTGCCTCAGCCTCCTGAGTAGCTGAGATTACAGGAGGCACCAATCAGGCCTGTCTTGCAATCTTTTGTGTGTATGATGTATGTGCATATGCATGGGTGCATGTGACCATGTGTGCAAGTATAGGGGTTGATGTTGAATGTCTTCCTCTATCACTCTCCACCTTATTTTTTTTAATTATTGTTATTTTTTTCTTTTTTTGAGACATGGTTTCCCTGTAGCCCCAGCTGGCCTGGAACACCCTACAAAGACCAGGCTGGCCTTGACCTCACAGAGCTCTGCCTGCCTCTTCCTCCTGAGTGCTGGGATTAAAGGTGTACACTACCACCCTTGGCATTTTAAACTCAAAAGAAAAAAAATTGGTGTATGTATGTGTACATGATGTGTGTGGGGGTGCACGTGGCACCTTGTACATGTACAGGTCAGAGAACAACTTTGTGGAGTTGATTCTCTCCTTCTACCTTGATGTGGTCCCAGATATCCAACTTGGGTCTGTGCTTTTGCTCATGGAGCCTTTTTTAATGGTCTTTTTGAGACAATGTCTCCATGTAGCCCCAGCTGGCCTGGAACTCACTTTGTAGACCATGCCATGATAGCTTTGATCTCAAAGCTCCACCTGACTCTGCCTCCTGAGTTCTGGGATTAAAGGTGTGTGTCACCATGCATGGCTGACTTCCTATTTTTTTTTTAAGAAAAGATTTTATTTTATTTTATGCATTTAAGTGTTTTGCCTGTATATGTGACGTGTACCATGTAACATGCCTAGTACCCTTGGAGGCCAGGAGAGGGTGTCAGATTTCCTGGAACTGGAATTATAGGTGGCTGTTAACTGCCATGTGGGTGCTGGGAACCAAACCAAGGTCGTCTGCAAGACCACCAGAGCCCTTAACCACTGAATCATGCCTCCAGTC